GTATATGTGTATATTTATATATTTATATACATATGTGTGTACATATAAAATATATGTATAAATATATATCGTATATATCGTATATATATATATATATAGTGTGTGTGTGTGTGAGTCAAAACCCAGGCAGGAGAATAGAAGTTACTTTGCTCCTTCAAACAGGAAGATTTCATTATGAGGCATCAGGTAACACATACAGAAGGTCAGTCAGAATGGTGACGCAGCCCAGATATCAACCATACGAAGAGACACTGCTCGTTAGGGCTGGAGGGGTGATCAGCGCAGGTCATGTTACCAGAGCCAGAACCTGACGTAGTGTGGCATGTAACTGTGGTCAGCACCAGAGGGCAGGGTGTGGACCTCAAAGACAGGTACCATCCAGCACCAGCTGGAGGTTGCTTCAGAGTTAGTGAGGCAGAAGACGGGAAGAAACACATAGTCATCTCCCTCTGCTGACATTCTGACTCTAACCAAAGACTCCAATGGGAGATTTGATTCTAAAGTTCACACAAAAGTGCTTAGAAAATAAAGTGCTTAGAAGAGACAAACAACTCTGAATAAAAGGACAATAAAGAGGGACGGCTTCGCCTGTTGCCTGGTGTTGAACTTACTAAACTGTTTTTTTTTTTTTTTTACAAATTTGGTACATAGTAGCATTAGCTATCAGTGTAGCATTACTAAGGGACAAATGCACAAATATTTCCACAGAATGGAATACGCTTGTTGAAATACAACTAATTAATTCTTCAATAAAAATACAAAGATAAGTTAAATTGGGAAGAAACTCAAGCCAAAACATCGCACTAAAGCAACTGAAAATTTACACAAGACCAGTGGCACCTCAAAAAGGCCAAATGATTTTCCAGTCTATATGAAACGGATAATTAAATATAAAAACTAAAGCCATAAAACTTCTGGACGGAAATTTTTAAGAAATATTTTTTGTTATTCTTTTTTATTTTATGTGTATGAGTGTTTTGCCTGCATGTGTGTAAGTGCACCCGTGTCATACAAAGCTCAAAGAGGCCAGAAGAAGGTGCCCAATCCCCTGGAACTGGAGTTTTGGACAGTTGCTAGCCACCATGTGGGTGCTGGGAATCGAACCCAGGTCCTCTGGAGGAACAGCAAGTGCTCTTTGCTGCTGAGCCATCTCTCCAGCCCCAGAAATATTTTTTAAATAAGACATAGAAACACATATCAATTCAATTTTTAATAAAATGCAGTTTAGACTTAGAGCATTAGTATAGCCTTTTTCACTAGAAATAAGAGCTTGAGAAAAGCTCACATATAAAGGGATCCCACTTCAGTTCTCACCTAAGTGATCAGAGTTTACCTGGAATAGAAGATTCTCCACTGAAGAGCAAAGGACAGGACTTCTATGTAAGCATTTGAGGAGTGTTTTAGTGCTGATGCTGTCGTTTTATCAACATCATAGGATAGTGTGTCGGGGCTAGAGAGGTGGCTCAGGGGTTAAGAGCACTGGCTGTTCTTGCAGAGGACCCAGGTTCGGTTCCCAGCACCCACATGGCAGATCACAATTGTCTGCAATTCCAGTTCCAGGGGATCTAATGCCCTCTTCTGGCCTCTGCAGGCAGTAGGCATGCACACAATGTACATACATACATGCAAACCAAACAATCATAAAAGAAATAGGTCTTGCTGGGTGTGGTGGTACATGCCTTTAATCCCAGCACTGGGGAGGCAGAGGCAGGCTGATCTCTGTGAGTTCAAGGCCAGCCTGGTCTACATAGTGAGTTCCAGGTCAGTTGGGACAACAGGGAGACCCTGTCTCAAAAACACCAAAAAAAAAAAAAATTTAAATAAATAGGTCTTGAGCTGGAGAGAGGACTCACCAGTTACGAGCACTTGCTGCTCTTCCAGAGGACCTGGGTTCGGGTCCCAGGACCCGATGGATGGCAGCTGCCATCCATCCTCAACCCCAGTTCTTCTGGCCTCCAAAAGCACCAGGCACACACATGGTGCACATCCATACAAGCAAGCGAAACACTCATACACATAAAATAAAAAGTTGATTATAAAATTATTAAATAGTTTGACATTTTTATTCTAATCATCACAGCAACACATGTTGGAATCTGTGTCATATTCCCAATCACTGCGTTCTAACGTCTGGCATTTTTCTCTCCTAGTAAGGTCCTACGTTGAGACAGCATACAGTGCCAAACCCACAAGGTGGCCATACTTCTTGATCATCCCTTTTTATATTATTATCTGTGTCCTGGTCGGCATACTGGTAAGAATTCACACCCAAAGGAGAAAATGGAGAACCGAAGAGTATTCAAGTGATGAGTAAGCTAGTCGTATATTCCATTATCTGTGTAATTGATTGGCATAACAGATTATTAATGGCATCAAGACAGATTTACCATTTTCCTTTATATGGAAATTTAATACTTAATATATTAATGATTAATACAATGAATAAACAGTTTTTTAAAAAAAAAACAGCCATTTTAATCTTATAAAAATTTAGTAATTAAATGCCATAAAGAAGCCTATTACTATGCAAAAAAAAAGTGGGAAAAGAAACTTGGGCCTGTTTAGGGGTAAAATTAAGTGAAAATTATTGCTTCTCTCTTAACTATTGATCTTAAATTTTAAATACGTTTTAAGCATTACTTGATTTTTAATATTTCTCTATTTCAAGAATTTTTATATACTACTTTGATAAAAGATGACAAGACGTTTAGGAAAGTGGTTTATCTCTTTTTGCAGTTTTAGTGTCTTTTAGATAAATAGATAGGCAGGAACTCAGAGGTAAAAGATAGAGAATTATCCTATAATAATAAAACTAAAAGCTGTAACATTGTGGTGGCACATCTGTAATCGCAGCACTCAGAAGGTTAAGGCAGGAGGATCATGAGTTTAAGGTCAGCCTGGTCGACATAGCAAGGTCCACCGCAGCCTGAGCTATATAATGAAGCTGTCTCAAAAAGAAAAGATGGAAGGGTGTTGTGAGCTGGGGAGATGTGTCAGTGGGTAAAGTGCTTGTTGTACAAGCATAAGGGCTTGAGTTCAATCCCCAGCCCCTACGTAGGGGTATAGCAATGTATGCCTGATATCCCACTCCTTGGGGATGGAGACTGGCTAGTTCTCTGGTTCATGCTCAGCTAGCTTTCTTATACAGGCCAGGTCCCCTGCCTAGTGATGGTGCCACCATCAGTGGGCTGGACCCTCTCATATCAATCATCAGTCAAGACAGCCTCCCATAGCCATGGCCACAGACCAATCTAATTGAGGTAATTCTTTACCTGAGGCTCCCTCCTCCTAGGTGACACTAGGTTGTGTCAGCTGACACACACACACAAAAAAAACTATAACCAGGACATGGCGGGGCGGATAAGGATGAAGATGAATGGCGATCAAAAACACCTTAAAGGCTGTGGCGCCAATAATGTCATAAATATGAAATTGATCTGAGTCTATTTTCAAGTCACCTTATATCACTGGCTCTAAAGAATTATCTTTATTTTTTAATCTACAGTCAATTTGAAAGTGAAAGTGAATCCAAAACCTAGTCTGGACAGCAAAGAGTCCATGAATTCCATGCTATCACAGTGAGTCAAAAACACCTTAAAGGCTGTGGCGCCAATAATGTCATAAATATGAAATTGATCTGAGTCTATTTTCAAGTCACCTTATATCACTGGCTCTAAAGAATTATCTTTATTTTTTAATCTACAGTCAATTTGAAAGTGAAAGTGAATCCAAAACCTAGTCTGGACAGCAAAGAGTCCATGAATTCCATGCTATCACAGTGAGTTTCCAATAGTTCAAGGGAAGAGGGAGGAAGGGAGGAAGGGAGGGGAGAGGGAGGGAGGGAGGGAGGGAGGAGAGAGGAGGGGAGAGAGGGAGGGGAGAGAGGGAGGGGAGAGGAAGGGAAGGAGGGACAGAATGTATTAGTCATCAATAATATAAACAGCAATATTCACATAATTCTATGTAATCCAATTAACTAACAAATACTTTTCAGTATTAGAATTTGTATCATTGACATGGGAAAGTTATAAATGGTATTATAATTTGTCATTTAAAGAAATTCCTGCCAGCTGGAGAATCAGTTCAGCCAATGAAGAGCTTACCATAAAGGCTTGAGAGCCTGAGTTCTATCCCCAGAATCCATGTTAAAAAAAAAAAAAAAAGGCATAATGGCACAGGCTTGTAGTCCCAACACTGGGGAGGTGGAAAGGCAAATCCCTGGGGCATGCTGGTTATGCAGCCTAGCTGACAAGGCTCAGGGCACCCGAGAAATAACAGCTGAGGCTGACCTCTAGCCACCACCCGCATATGCACACACATACATATATGCACGCACACACACATACATATATGCACGCACACACACACACACACACACCACACACACACACTCTACATACTCTCACACACAATTTCTTGCAAGAACCAGGCTTGCAGCACATACCTGTAATCCCAAAACTTGGGATGCAGAGGCAAGAGTGTCAAGAGTTCAAGGTTACTCTTTGCTACATAGACAAAGGCCAGCCTAGGCTACATGAGATCTTGTCCCAAACAGAATTTCTGCATCATTACGTTACATTGTTAATTAGTTCCTCTAAGTTTTATTCTTTAGAATTTGTGGCTAAAAGTAAATAACAGGCTTGAATTCTCCTTCATCCTGAGCATTCCCCTGGGATCTGTGCTGTATCCAGCATAGTTTAACCTGGTTCACCTATACATGACCTTTCTCCTTGATTCATTCTTCTAGAGTGATTCTCTTCAGTGGACAGAAAAAAGTGGCAAAGAAAGAAATGTTTGTCATGTGATTTTCTGGAGTTGAGCCTGCATATTGTGATTTCCATCTGACTAGAAATCACATCTCCACACACATGTATGATACATATATATGTATACAATTCCATAAATAATTTGTAATAAATGTATGATTATGAATTTTATATTACACTTTCTTATTATTTCATCCTATTTCTGGTAACCCAATTCTGTTATCTAGTAGACATGATATGGAAAAGGTTATAGTAAAATAAATGTGGTAGGAGTCTAGTGTACTGTTACATTCTGAGTTAAGATGGGAATGTTGTCATGTTACAGTCCGATGATTAATAACCAACCCAAAGACAACCGTCCGAAGATTTAGAAGACAGTCTGACTCATGCTGTTTCGAAAAAGAATGTGTTTTCAAGCATACCAAGTTTCAAAGTCAAAGATGGAAAAATATATACAACAGGAATCTGGGGAAAGCAGAGGGGACGGACTTGAACACAGAAGCATTTGTAGAGGTGAAGAAAGAGAATACCCCAGGGCAAAGCGTCAATTTGAGAGGAAAGTAAAAAAATACAATTATAATGTCTTTGGGCCTCGTGTGTGTGGGACAAATACTGTCCCACTGAGCCCCTGTGAGTTTTAATACAGCTTCAACATGTACTTCAAATCCAGTGGGACAGTATTTGTCCACCACGCATGAGGCCCAAAGACATTACAATTTTATAATTCATAAGAAATATGAACAAGACAACGAGAATTAGGAAAAGCAACAAATTTAGTGAAGGATTTGAATAGTACAGTTAACAAAAATGGTCCACTTGATATGTAGAACTCTGTCGAACAACAATCAGAAAACATGCACCAAATATACACCGAATGATTGACTGAAGGGACAGTCTTGATTTGTCATGTCTGAAATATTCCAGAGTATGCTTCCTAACTAAATTTAAGATAAACTGGTTGGAGATGTAGGTCAGTTGGCGGAATACTTGCCTTGCATTCACTTTGTGGTTTGTCAAGTTGACTGTCAGGATTAGCCATCACAGATCCCCAGCACTGAAAAAAACTGGGCATGAGGGTACATGTCCAAAATCCAAACACTGCAGGCGGTTGCAGGAGAACTAAAAGTTCAAGGTCATTATCAGTTACATGGTGACTTTGAGGGTAGCCTGAGCTACATGCAACTCTCAAAAAAAGATATTTTAAGGACAATATATGATAAAATGTTAAAATCTTCAAGTATTTGAAACAGGCAATACATTTCTAAATAATCTGTGAATTAAGAACAATTAGCGAGACTTTAAAGGCACTGTGAACCATCTATTCTAAAATAATATAGAAAAATGTGTAAGGGAGCCATTTGAAGATCCTAAAAGAAAAATTTAAGTTTATTGTTTTTTTCTGGCGGTGGTGGCACATGCCTTTAATCCTGGCCCTTGGGAGGCAAAGGCAGGCAGATCTCTGTGAGATGGAGGCAAGGCTGGTCTACATAGGGAGTTCCAGGGGAGCTGTGGCTACAGGGAGACCTTGGCTCAAAAAAAAAAAAAAAATTAAAAAACCTTTTACCCTCCCGGTAAAAATTTCTAAAACATTTTTTAGTGAGATATAAGAAAGAAACAACCCCGGATCTCTGTGAGTTCAAGGCCAGCCTGGTCTACATAGTGAGTTCCAGGACAGCTGGGGCTACAGGGAGACCTTGCTTCAAAAAGACAAAAACTAAAAAAAAAAAAAAAAATTAACAAACCTGTTACTCTCACGGTAAAGATTTCTAAATCATATATTAGTGAGATATAGAGAAGACACAGTCCCTACAAATAAGAAAGTTACATTTTTAGATGAAATAGAAATCTCGTTTTTTAAAAACTCAACGTCGTTGGCCACGAGAGGTGGTACATGCCTTTAATCCCAGCTCTTGGAAGGCAGAGGCTGGTGGAGTTCTGTGAGATCATGGCTAGCCTGGTCTACATAGTGAGTTCCAGGTCAGCTGGAGCTACAGAAGACCCTGTCTCAAAAGAGAGAGAGAAAGAGAGAGAGAGAGAGAGAGAGAGAGAGAGAGAAAGAAAGAAAACCTCAACACTTTGTGCAACTGACCTAAACAGAATTTAAATACCTACAAAAGACTATAAAAAGTTTTAAATCGATCATAATCATAATTAAAGAAATTTCATGAAGTTTCAGGTCTGGGTAGATTGCTCACTGGAACCAGGCTTATATTGCCCCATTCCTTTCATGGGGCCAGCAAATGCTGAAGGCAAAATTTGGCAAAAATTATTCAATCTGTGGAATTTTCTCTTCAGCTAAGCAAACAAGCTCTGAACGCTACGTGACCCAGCAGGCATGTGACTGAGAGAGGGTATTGACCCAGGAGTGTTTGATTCCAAAACCCACACACACACTTCAGCCAAGCCATGCTGTGGGGGAGGGTGGACTTTGTTCTGTGCACAGAATCCACGGGTTAAACGGAAGGCAAGATAAGCTCCAGCTACTGATTGAAAAAGTGACCGTTCGGGAGCAGTGATCACGGGTCATAGTCCTCTGAAGGGTAACGTTTCTGTCTCAACTGTTGTTATGGTCTTGCGGAAAAATCCGAACTTCCACGCTGTTCTGGTGCAGCAGCTGGCTCTTACCAGCAATTAGAGTTTGGGGGTAGTCTTTGTTCTTAAGCACAAAACTCCTTGGCAGGGAACTGTTACACACTTAAATTAATGACTTGGTCACAGAAAGGTACCCAGAGACAAGACTGGGGTGCATCTCCCAGCTGGGGTACAAAACGAGTAGGATGAAACCCACCTACCCAGCTTATGCCAGCCTGCCCACTACCCTATTACAGAAGGAACCAGTGGGCAAAAAGTCTTCATGCCCACAGGTCTCGGGTTCCTCACCTGCAGAGAAGGTTGCTATCCCAGGATAATCCTCACACAGGTGATAGCCTCCACTGGTAAACTCAGCTGGGATCACGAAATAGCTCCTCCTTCCTGCCTCCCTCCTCCTAGCTAGGTCCTGGAGGAGGCCCTCCCTCTAGCGAAGAGGAGTTGTTTGGAGACTGTCCTGCTTCTGGAAGAAGACTCAAAACTCAGGCCTGAAGGCAGGCTCCATTTACAGAGCACATCTCCTGCTGCCATTTGCCGGGACAAAGCTGAGCTCAGGTTTTAGATCCAGCTCAAATGTCCTTGAACCTTTAGCCCAGGAGTTTACTGTCTTACCTTACAAATTTACTTAGTGTGGTGAACACACAAAAGGGTCTACTTTCATTCTCAAGAAGGGAAAATAGGGGCTGGAGAGATGGCTCAGCAGTTAAGAACACTGAGTGCTCTTGCAGAGGACCTGGGATCAATTCCCAGCACCCACATGGCAGCTAACAACTGTCCTAACTCCAGTTCTAGGGGATTCAATGCCTTCTTCTGACCTCAGTGGGCACTGCAGGACATAGGTGCACTTGCATACATGCAGGCAATACACTCATACACATACAATAAAAATATTTGTAAAAAGAAGGGAAAATAACCTTTTTTACTTGTATAGTCAGAAAAGGGGAGAGAGCATCTCCGGCTGCACGGAATGCCACGGTGATTTTAACTCAGTGTCAGCCTGGGATATTAGAAATCTGAGTGCTTCTACCTCTGAATACCAGTTCCTCTTCCTCTTCTTTTCTTAGGACTACATAGATATGTATTTTTAGTTCTTTGGGGAAGAATAGGTAGCATGTCTATATCATGTGACTGTGTATATTTTGTGTGTGTGTCTGTGTGTGTCTGTGTATATGTTTAAACACAAGCACTTGAGGCAGATTTCAAGCATAACAAAATGTAACTAACCATTTT